CATACACACAAACACACACACAAAAAAAACAAAACCCAAATCGTACTGAATTATTTAAAACCTGGTACAGAAAACCCAAGAAATATGAACTTTGCCACAGTGGGATTGTAGTGTTTGTTTTTACTCATTTCACAATTCAACTCAATAATTTCTATTCTTAATAAAATAAAACATTGCTAGTCACTTTGTTTCTCAGAACCTCTGCTTCTTTGATATAAAATCATGTTAAACTAAGTGATTATTAAAGTGCTTTCTGACTCTACAATGTTTGATTATGTGATATTAGCCTAAATGCTATGAAAAACAATGAACAAATTGCAGAAGTGATCTCCTAGTATACTAATGTCAAACATATTTTGTTTCATGGAAGAATCACAACTATTGGACCTGAGCCACACTGGGGAACACTGTTCATTCATTTAATTCAAACAGATGTAGGTTACAAAACAATGGAAAGGGTAGCATTTACTCTGAAGGGCTGCATCTGAGAAAGCCTAGTTTTTTTAATGTATGAGAGAAAGGAATGATTCTTTTGAAGAAATATCAACAATAATCAGTAGTCACTTAAAATGCCTGAGGTAGCACTAACATTCAATAAGTATAAATAATAACAGTAAGAACTAGTATTTTGTTTATCTCATCAACTAAAAGGGCACTGGATAAGTTACACACCAAAACCAATATCCCATTATAGGAACATTTATCAATGTAATATAAACATCCTGACTTGTCATAAAGGTGCCTTTGATTATCTATATCCCCTTTTCTTCTAAGTCTGTACTAATTTAGCAGTTTTCAGAGCAGTGGATTTGGATGGAGAAAGCATAGTCTTTAAAAAAATTAATTTAAAAATTGTTCGAAGATGGTGCACTTTTAACACCTTTCTAAAATTCTGATCTCATCATAAAAACCCCAAATGATGAACACTGGATCACATTTATAAGATTGATTCTCCATGAACATATCCACAGCAAATACCTAACCTCTACTTTTTCATCCAATTTCATAATTTTATGTGGATGAAAGTGTAAGCTGTCTATGAGTACTCTTATTTTGTTCCCCTAATTTGAAATCATTCCTAAACTGCTTTTTCAAATAATCATTATTAGAATTTAAGAGGTCATCAGTGGATGCCACAACTTCAAGGCCAGTTACCTGTGAAATTCTAGTCTCTTTAATTAACAGAGAAAATATACTCTTAACGTAAATTCACTGATTTTCTGTTCAAGTTCTATTTTTAGTAAAAGCCATACCTATAGGCAAAGAGTTAGTCTTATTAGTCTTAAGTATTTGCTTTTGCATCAGCAACCCTTTGGAGTCTTATTTCATTTATACTGGGTCTTGTCGCAGTATTATGAATTCAAACATTGATCTTAAGGTATTATGAAAAAAATGTATAATGGAAAGCTGTTAAGTTTAGCATGGATTTTACAATTTATTTTATTGATCAAAGGGAGATGAATTTTCTTGTTTTAGATACTATTGGTTATAATTTAAGTAATTGCCAAGGCATGAGAGGCTTAACAGCTACAAAAATATTGTAAATTCAGCATAGATTTAAATAAACAGATGATGTATTTTAAATAGGACAAAGTTAGGAGTTTTTGAAATGCTAATGTATAAGTATCTAGTAGATAGTTGAAAGTTGGCTCTTTGTCTTGATCCTTTCAGTAGGGGTGTGTCTAGGGTAGTAATTATGCCAATGGATAAAATAATAACGTGTGCTAGAAAGGGGTCCAGTTCAGGGATTGAGAGAATAAGTATAACCAACCACCACCGCCACCACCTGCAGGTCCTGGAGCACACAGGGGGACTTTGCAAACTGGAAATGTAACTTTCCAAAGTCTGTAGTACTGAACATCCTCACGTCAGGTGACAGACTTTCTTTTCTTACTCTCTTCTTTTATTTTCACAGTTTTTTTTTGTCTTAAACTAGAAAACCAATAGACTTAGTAACAGAATGTCTAGCATAGGGTTCAAGTAGGCTGAAAGTGACAAATTACTTAAAAGATGTAGAGTGGTAACCGGGACATTATCGGTCCACCTCACTCTCTGCAGGTCTAGGGAACATTCATCCTCTGCTGTGCTGTGAAGACTGCTGCTACTAGAAGGGTCCTTTAGGGTCGGCCCTTGGGCAGAGTCCTTCACTTTCAGGGAATGGTGGGACACGATACTGATTTCAACACGGTAGTTGTACAGTGTTTGGCAGGGAGTGGGAGTGTTTGTGTAGCTGTTATTAAGTCCCAGCTAAAAGCATAAGCATAGCTGTTTTAAGATACTGGGTAGGGTGGGGTCAGTTTTTACTCAAGAGCTGTATTTACAACCAAGCAGGAGTATAGCCTCCTCTCCAGGCAAATGCATCTCAGACCCACCCAGGAAGAGCTTCATTCCTTGAGTTCTTACACCGTATCGATTACTAGCCATTTTAAATATATCATTCGATTTATTCCTCACCCTATGAGAGAGATATGAGAAAGGAGACATCACATTGGAATTAATTAAATTAAATGTGAAGTCAAAAACTAGCTTCACCACTGGCTTAGTAAGTAACTTTGGAAAAGCTATAAACCTCTCTGTGTCTCAGCATCCTTATCTGTAAACTGGGGGCAAATGAGATGATGCCCCCAAAGATGCTTAGCACAATGTGCAGGGCTCAGGCACAGCTCAGACACTGTTTGCACAAGATCACAAAACTGACAATATAGTTGATCACACAGTGAAACTAGGATTTGAACCAGCGTATGTATGACCAATACATATTCTCTCAATTCCTGAACTGGACCCCTCTCTAACATGCATTATTTTATCCATTGGCATAATCACTACCCTAGATACCCCTACTGAAAGATCCAGAGAAAGATAACCTTTCAACTACGGGACTACATTTCTATTTTTTTTCAAAATTATCATCTTGCAAAGCTTCGAGAGTTGAGATTCCTAATATCCTTTAGGCTAATAAATAACCTTACATGGCATAAGAAAGGTCCAGGTCCTTTCTTGCCTCCTAAACCGCTCTTTTAAAAAAAAAAAAGGTGTCCTTGGAAGCTGCTTGCTAAGAGGCTCAGAATGGAGCCTGAACTCATTGCTTTGGAATTGCTTAGCTTCTGCTGAGCACCCCTGTTTTAACTTTTACTCTTGACGTGGAGAATTCCTACCACTTCTGGCTGCAATTTCACACCTGTCAATCCAGTGTGACAAAACAGAAGACCATAGCAGGGTTTCAATAGTAACATATGTCTTTAAATTCCCCAACAGTTGTTTTTTAAATGTCGGATTTACAATTCTCTTGAATTTTTAGTCACATATCTTCTCCATCCCTCTCCCCAACCTCTATGGAGCATCCATGGCAAAACAAAACAAAACAATTTATCAGATTTGATAAATTGTGATTTTCCTCTACCAATAAATACTTTTTTCCTCTTTAACTGAGTGATAGGACAAGAGATAATCTCTCTGATTCATACTGGAGGAAGGGACATTTCCTTTGGTAACTCAGATTTAAAGAGGCCTTTACATGTTTGGTTTTGTTTGGAGATCAGTATTTAATTTAGAAATGCCTTGAGAACTAAGATTTCTAATATCTTTCAGGCTTATATGGCTTAAGAAGGGCACAGTTACCACATCTCTTCGCAGTTCATCTGGCGCATGAAAAGCTATTCCATTTGCATTACAAGTTAAAAAATTTCCGGGCTGCAAAAGCCTGCAAGGTATAGGAGGACATCAGCTGCCTGAAGCTTTACAACATCAAGTGTAATTTGGAGAGGACAAAAAAGCAGCAGGATGAGTCTTTCCTTTTATGGGGGGAAGGAGGCTTAGGTTCTAACTTGGCAGAGCTGATTCATTTAGAAACAGAAGCGTCCCTCGGTTTAAATTCCAGTGTCTAAATCTCTCTTGGGAGATGAAGGCTCTTCTTGTATGCCTTTCACAATCAAACAGTTGGTTATAGCCTCTCCCCTCCATGGCTTTGAAATCCTCTCCTATTCACATGGTCACAAGAAGACAGCCCTGGGGCAGGGATAGCAATTGCTTCCTGGGCTCTGCATTGGCTGGATTCCACTGGGCGGAAGGGCTTCCAGAATTAGGCAGGACTGCCCTGGGATTCACAAATACCCACCACTTGGCGGAACAACAGCCCCACGCAATCTCCCTGTCCCCAGATAGCCTCTTGCTACATTAATTGCATCATTGATGCATTAAAAAAGTTAAGTGGCCTTTTTATTCTAAGGCAACCATTTGAAGGAGAAAATATTCAAGACTAGCCTTTGTACCTATAACTGATAACACTGCTTTTATTTTTACTTTACAGTGGTGGTCTCTGAGCAAGGAGAAGCATATCTTGTGCATTTGTTAAGAGTTATGCTCTGAATTTTTAGTGCATCATTTGCTAGAAAAGAACTTAACAAGAATCGCTTTAGCCAGAAGAGTATTGAAAGGAATCGGCTAGTTCAACTCTTATGGAATCCGTTTTCAATACTTGGTTAGTCCCTAAAACACTGGTAGTCTTTGGACAAAGGGAAATCTTAAAGTAGTTATGAGTTTGACTTTTTAATTAAAAAAATAATAAAAAACTCACATGATTACTGCATTTCCATGAGGAGTTAATAAACAGCCACTGAATTAATTTGCCCTGTCAGCTAACAGCTGCAGGCAGAGCCCCAAGTTCATAACGCAAAGAGACAAATATGACTTCAGTGTATGCAACTGCTCACCTTCCCAACCTGTATGGAGTGTGTACAGGTGTTCCCTGACAAACGACCTCAGCCTACTAACCCCGTGGCACCTGCCTTGGGTTTAGGCTGCAAGTGACCTGGAAAATTCCCACTCCTGAGTGCAGATTTCACATACACTCCCCCACTGGAGGCTGACAGAACAATGCCTTGTGTGTGTGATCCCTGACAGGCAGGACAGATGTACAAATGGCGGTGAGAGCCAGGCCAACTGAGATCATGCATGCTGATGCATCCCAGTTGGTGACAGGTGGAGGAGCAGGGACCACTGACCTGGAAGATGAGCACTTTGAAATGGTTGCGTCTTAGGAGCTGGGCGTGGTTGTTCTCCAGCTGCTTGACCTGCGCACACTGCCTCTCCATGCGGTCCTTGACCGCCCGAGTGTGAGCGCTGACCTTGCGGGTCTTCTCCAGCAGTTTGCTCACCGTGTTGCTGGTGGAGGCCTGGTACTTGGAGAGCTTGGTGAGGTCATTCTGGATGCCCTTCACCGAGCCCTCTAGGCTGATCTGCCGCTGCTCCATCGTGTTCTGGTTCTCCTGCACAGCATCCAGCATGTTCACCAGCTTGTCCAGGAGTGTGAGCACCGTGACGGCGTTCACCTGTGAGTTGTCCTGGATGGCCTCCCCCGTGCTCCTCGGGTTCAGGCTAGGGCTTGGAGTAGAGGAGGGCACTGGGCTGGGGCTGGCTGGCTTCTCCTGCCACACCTCAGAACCCTGGAGCTGGAACTTTTCAGCTTGTGCCGTGCCCTCCCCCATGGCTGAACAGGTGGGAAAGTTCTTCTGGCTCTGGTGAGAAGGACAGCAGTGAGGGGTGCAGAGTGAGGACCGCTAGTATGAGCTCAGAGCACTGCGCTCCAGGACTGGCAGAGGTTCAGACAGGCAACAACTGGCTACACTGATCAGGAAAACTGCATTCCAGCTGCTCTTAAAAGCCCTACTCCACCCAGTGGGAGGAGAAGGTTACAGAACAGAGAACCACTCAGGGTTCAGAGGCCTGCCCACACTTCCTAACCATGATCTCCTCAGCATAGGGCACTTTCCTGCAGGTTTAGCTTTTCTTTCGTACTCCCCTTCCCTTTTAAAAATAAGTTCAATGCCATGTTTCAATCATGACTTCATCTAGAGGCAGAGAAAAACATGCTAATTTGGCTCAGCTCCAGAGCCTACACTTAGCTAAAGCTAGTAAACTTTTCTCTAGCTGCTATACTACAGATACAACAGAGTGCCTGTTTTTTTCCTGCCGTCCCCCCACCCCCCATACAAGTTATTGTAACAGAAAGTATTGTTTGCACTTGCCCTGGAACAGACTGATGTGCTGCAGAACGCCTGGTGTTTTTCTGAGAGGGGCCAAGTTTAAAGGCTACTTGCAGTCAAGCTTGTATTGTCAGTTTTTAGTTAGCAAAGGCATGGAAGTAACCCTGATAATGACAAGGAAAACAGTTCAGTTCTTATTACTCATACGATTAGGGATTCTAGATAAGTAGAAAGAGACCAAATCTCTCTTAAAGGGCATTTAAACATGTAATGCTGTTAACGGGCTTTCATCATGTAATAGATGGAAAATTTTTGAATGACCACGTTTTTTGTTTTGTTTTTAATTTAGAGGGTTTTTTGAGAAGAAGAAGAAGAAAAAAAAAGAAGCGTGATCTCTTAAAGAACCTACCACACTGATTTGTTTTAACTAATGTCCAATCTGTGCTGAGAGATTTTCACAAGTACCCATCTCTGCAAGGCATGCATTGACACGTGCCCAGAAGTGTGCTTGGCAGGCAGGTTGAGTTGGAGTTTCTGAAGTGCTTCTAATGTTTGACATTTCTAAATTCCTATTCAGTGAAGTGGCACACCTGTTCGAAACGTGGCTCTCCTCAGCCCAGCCCTTGGGACGTAGGGTTTATTTCCTAAAACGACTTTACATGCTTGAATTGGTTTTAAATGTATCCACCTTTTGAAAGTGCTGTCAGCAGGAAGTTTGTAATAGGCCTTCGATGAACAGTTTTGAGAGGAACAAATACCAGCTCATATTGAATCAGGGATTAATAATGAAAAGTGCCATTCTTCAATATCAGAATCTACATGTAAGCCGATCAATCAGCAGGTCACTTGTTGTTACATTTATTGAGTTTTTGTGTCCATGCTATCTGCTCAGGGCTATGCTTGATAAACTGTTTTGAGGATACTAATAAAGTGTGGTCGAAGACCTGCCCTCAGGGAGTATGCCTGCTCATTAAGAGATGAATTAAAGATATTTATACAGGTCCCCCAATTTCCTCAGGTAATTGGTATCCTCCAAATCCACTTGGAGTGAATTAAAAAATAGGGAAGAAAGGAGTGAAAAGATTGGGTTGGGGCTTTATCTTTTAAAATGTAAGAAAAAATTTTAAATTAACTAACATGAACAACAATTTAGTTGGCCAATCATGTGTGAAACATCAGAACAAAGGATGAATCAAGTGTTGACTTTGAGAAGCATAATTTTCTAACAAAATTATATGGTATCATGATACCATGTCCTTTTACATTTGACTTCTGTGGGCATATCATTAATAGGGTCACTATTACAAAAATCTTTCAGAGCTTCATCAGGTTTTCAAGAGCCTCTCTTAAGTTGTTGACATTCCATTCAAATCATTCCCTTTTGAAGCACTTACTGCACCATCCTCAGCGTGGATTTCTTCAAATGTTATATATTCCAGCTGCAGATTCTCGTTTGTCAGAGTTGCCCATGATATGAGGGCTTTTCTAACATTACCTTCATCAGATTCATAATTTCTTATGTATTTTGGAAGATTTGCCATTTCACATTATAATCACTTTGCCCTGATTTTGCATCAATTTGCACTGATTCTGCATCACCTTGCTGGATATTGTATAATCAGTTAGAGCAGCAGAGACATTAGAGACGTGGGTTGAGGTAGGAAAAGGAGAGAGGCTAGTTGTTAAGCAGGAAGAAAGGTTTGTATGTGGACTAACTTATTTTTGAAAATTTATTTTGAATACACACAATGTATAACAGCTATCTGCTGCTGTGTGACAAACATACCAGCCACTGAAAACAATAATCATGATTTTTACTGACTCATGAGTTTGTGACTGGCTAGGCAGGACTCAGCTGGAATGGGTCATCTCTGCTAGGCACGTTCATTCAGCTGTAATGGAATCTGGAATGGTCTCAATCACTTCTGGCTCCTTACTTGGGATGATTAGAATGCTGGGATTTGTCTCTCCGTGCGTGGTCTTCAACCTCTCGGGATGCTCCTGTTTTCTCAATAGGGAAGTCAAATGTTTTTTAACATGGTTCCTCAGGGTCCCCAGAGAGTGAAAACAAAGGCTGCAGGATCTCTAAAAGCCAGGCTCCGGAACTCTCCTCTTGTCACTTCCGCCACATTCTGTTAGTCCAAGCGGGTCACAGGCCAAGCTCAGCCTCAAGGGGACAGGAAATAGACCCCACCTCCTATGGCTCTAGAGGCATTAGTCGCAGTCTCTTTGTGTTTTCACATTGTGGATCAGTAGCAAGCTCTCAGGCTCGGTTAGCTGTTCAGCAGAATTTCTAGGCCAGGGGCAGCTCAGTGGCCTCCTAGGTTGCTCTTTTCCATTAAAACCCATTTGGGATCCTGGCATTCTTGGTCTTATTGCTGTGGCAGTGATAAGAGACCTGGAATGATGAGCTCACAGAAAAGAAAGCTCTTCTCCTCAATTGCTAAAGAAGAGAAGGCTAAGCTAGCCACTCTGTGTCTTTTACTTTGAGCCCCATGTTGGTATTCAAAAGCCTTTCAAAGACTGGGTTGCCTCTTGAGTAGGAGGTCATCTATTAACCACATGGAAAGAAAGAGGAACAACATGATTTTTGTTTTTCCTAAGGGAAGAAGAAGGAAAGAGAGAAAGGAAAAGGAAGTGTCTTCTAAGATGAAGAGGAGTTTTTCCACCTTTTTATTATACTTCATGAAAACTCTTTCTACCACCTACCATACTCATCACATACTTGTGAGGTGTTCTTTCTGTCTCTAGCTTCGGGATGTTGAGAGGAAATTCTCCATGGATCTTTTGAATTTCTGAATGTCTTTTGAGCAGATACACTGACAGTCTGTTTTTCTGGGCTATCTTTTCGAGAATGCTTATATAGTGAACAGCCTTGGAAAACAGAGACAGCAGCAGAGGATGTTCAGTGACATAAAGATAGTGGTTCCCTCTGACAAAGGTTAGACAGGTTAGACAGATTTTATGATCTTATAAAAGATTAGGTTTTCCTAAACTTGGGATATCTCAGTTTCTTGGCATGTACAAGATCTACCTATGTCCACTTCTGTGTCATCCCCATATGACTTGGGGGAAGGTGAAGGGAATTGATGTGAACATGAAGCTTATGTGTCTACTGTGCCCTGGGTAATAATGTAGTTGTTTTGGAACTAGGAGTCTTGTACCTTCTGCCATGACACTGAAACAGGTTAACTTGTTTGCAAGTAGGATATAAAATGTCAGATCATTCATAGCTCTTCACACTGCTCACTGTTTCATCTAACCGTAACATCTTGCATGAATGATGTTGAGAGAAAGAGGTTGAAAATATAGAAATATGTTTAAAGACATTGGAATCAGAGGGCTGGCTAATTCAGGGCCTCAAATGGCATTTGCATCTGCATTTTCTGTGGACTGAATCTTGCATGGAAATAGAATCTGCAGAGGGAGACTAGGACCAGTGGTAATCTTATCTTGACACAGTCGGGATTTCTGATACCAGGCCATGCTCCCAGCTCAGTGCTATCAGGAGAGAGTGGTTCCTATATCCCAGGAAGGTCTCCAGTAAGTACAATGGAATCTTTTTGGTTATAGGTTTTGGAGGCTGGGGAAGATTCCTACTGAAAACAGCAGAGCTTCCCTGTGCATATTCTTGCTTGGTAGTTTTGGGTTGGGTGAGTGGCCTGGATAGTTGCTTCCCAAACTTATTTATCATGCTTCTAAGAATGGACTCATTCATATATTCAGTGGATAAGCATTTGTTGATCTCCAATCATTTTCAAGGAACTGTGTCTATTTCTGAAAGTATATGGTTGAGTGAAATACTTATATCCTTGTTTTTATAGAATTTAAGGACTGAAGGAAGACATCATCTGTGTTTTACATTGAGGTTATGTTCCAAGAAAATACAGTGTGAGAGATAAAAGATGGCTGGAAATTATTTGCTAGTTTTCCAGTGAGAGGTGGAGTCTAATTCCCATTTCTTTACATCTGGAATAACCTTAGTCACCTACTAGGCCAATTAGAGTGCGCCAGAAATAACAAGCTGGGATTTCTGAAGCTGGGACATGTGAAGGTTTAGTAATTTGCTCCATGTAAAAAATCTGACTCTGTGGGTCTGCCATCTATGAAGGAGCCCAAGCTAGCCACATGGAGAAGCTATGAGGAGAGGGAAACAGCTGGCTAGCCCCAGTCTCAGTTAGCTTTAGACACTTGAGCACTTCCCCCTTCTGTGCCCAAATAATGCTTTGGGCATCATTGCTGTGGCCTGCCCAGATTTCTAACCCACAAAATTGTATGCATAATAAAATTATTATTGCATTATGTCACTAAGTTTTGGGGTCCTTCATTATGCAGTAATAGATAACTGTGAGAGTGCAGTTTGCAATAAAAATGCAGTTCTTTAAGAATTATTATTAACAGGTAGGTTTGTTCCTGGAGCTCCTAATCCAATACTTTTATTAAAATTATTATTCCCAAACTTAACCCCTAAAATGATATTATAACACAAAATGAAAGATTTTGTATGATTATTCTTACCTTAAGAAAACTTAACTCTGAACTTGCTGCCAAAGGTGCTGGGGTGAAAGCATATTACTAAGAGAAGGGGTCTTAGGAAGAAAGGAGGGTGCAGGGGAAGGATCGCTTGGCCACATCTGGCTTCCCTTGACCCTGCATCCTGCAGAGGG